TGTGGCTTTCCAATGTTCCCAGCACCATTTTTATTGAAAAGGCTTTCTTTTCTCCACTGTATGTTTTTGGCTCCTCTGTCAAAAATTATTTGTGGTGTAATCAAAACAGCCTGGTACTGGCACAAGAACAGGCATATAGACCACTGGAACAGAATAGAGAACCCAGAAATGGACCCAAGGCAATATGCTCAATTAATATTTGACTAAGGTGGCAAGAACATACAGTGGAGTAAAGACAGCCTCTTTAATAAATGGTGTTGGGAAAATTGGACAGCTACATGCAAAAAATATGAAACTAGACCACTGACTTACACCATACACAAAAATAAACTCAAAATGGATAAAAGACTTAAATGTGACCCGTGAATCCATAAAAATTCTAGAAGAAAATGTAGGCAACAAAATTTCGGACATCATACGCAGCAGAACTTTCACTGATACATCACCTAAGGCAACAAAAACAAAGGAAAAAATGAACGCATGGGACTACATCAAACTAAAAAGCTTCTGCACAGCAAAAGGAACAACCATCACAATGGAAAGGCAACCCACTGTATGGGAGAACATAATTGCCAATGATACATCAAATAAGGGGTTAATTTCCAAAATATATAGAGTACTCATACAACTCAACAAAAGGAAGACAAAGAACCCAATTAAAAAATGGGCAGAAGAGCTGAATAGACACCTCTCCAAACAGGACATACAAATAGCCAAGAGACATATGAAGAAATGCTCAACATCACTAATCATCAGAGAGATGCAAATTAAAACAACAATGAGGTATCACTTCACACCTGTCAGAATGGCCGCCATCAACAAATCATTAAACAAGTGTTGGCGAGGGTGTGGAGAAAAGGGGACTCTAGTACACTGCTGGTGGGAATGCAGACTGGTGCAGCCACTATGGAAAACAATATGGTGCTACCTCAAAAAATTAAAAATTGAACTTCCATTTGACCCAGTGATCCCGCTTCTAGGAATATACCCTAAGAAGCCTGAAACACCAATCAAAAAGAATATATGTACCCCTATTTTTGTAGCAGCACTATTTACAATTGCTAAGATCTGGAAAGAGCTCAAATGTCCATCAGTAGACGAATGGATAAAAAAAGCAGTGGTAAATATACACAATGGAGTACTCTGCAGCTGTAAGGAAGAAAGATCTCTTATCCTTTGAGACAACATGGAGGGACCTTGAAAGTATTATCCTAAGTGAAACAAGCCAAGCAGAAAAAGACAAATACCACATGATCTCACTTATATATGGAATGTAATGAATATAACAGTCTGAGGAATAGGGTAGACCCAGAAACATGGAAGTAGGGTACAGACTGACAACCCTCAGAAGTGAGGGTGGTGGGGGGTGGGAAGAGATATACCACAGAACTTATATGCGTGTATGAATAACCAATGGACATGGACAACAAAGCTGGTGATGGGGTGGGGTGGGGATGGGGAGGAGGGTGTCAATGGGGTAAAAAAGGAGAAACATCTGTAACAAAACTAAAATTAAAATAAATAAATAAAGAAAGAAAGAAAGAAAGAAAGAAAGAAAGAAAGGAAGAAAGGAAGGAAGGAAGGAAGGAAGAAAGAAAGAAAGAAATTAATTATTTGTGGGTTTATACATGTGGGCTTATTTCTGGCTCTCCATTCTGTTCCATTGGTTCATATGTCTGTTTTTTCTGCCAATACCATGTTGTTTTGATTATTGTTGCTTTGTAGTATAGTGTGAAGTCAGGGAGTGTGATACCTCTGTCTTCTTTTTTCTCAGGATTGCTTTGGCTATTCAGGGTCTTCTGTGGTTCTATACAAATCTAATGATCTTTTGTTCTATTTCTTTAAGAAATGTCATTGAGATTTTGATGGGGATTGCACCATCACCCAGTCTTGTCAAAGAGATCATATCTGAATCTGATCAATCCTCTGGACTCAGGTGCCAGTTTGAAAAATTTGGAGGACAGAGATAGTGGAACATATTGAACTGCACTGTGAGGATGCTACCAGTAAAATCTAGACTATGGGAAATTATTCTGTTTAAATAACCTCAGGTCTTCAACAGATACATTTTAAGATAAAAAGGGAGGAGGATGGAAGAAAACCTATATGTTAAATTATGTTATTAAAACAAACAAACAAACAAACCAACCCGGGAAAGATCCCCCCCTCCCCCAAAGCCAAGATCAATATGGAGAGGGCAAGACTAAATTATATTGTATATTGTATAGGGAAGCAAACTTGGGTGGTAAAACCAGAAGACAATGAAAGTAAGTGATTACTATGAAACTGACAATAGTGGTTACTTTTTTGGCAAGGGGAAAATAGCTGGAGTTTTACTTTGTCAACATAAGAAATGTCCAAACCTGGAGACTATGAGTTTATTTGAGACTAACTGATGGCATTGCTGTGAAGCAATGTCTCAAATCCTTAGGAGAATGACAGTTTAGCAGTTTTTTTATACATCAGGAATTGGGAAGGGAATGTGAGGAAGATTACATGAAGGTGGGAGAAAGTAAGGCAGGGGAATCTCCGTGACTGGATTATTAGATAGCTTACAAGATCATGTGCTCTCTCCTGGGTAGTTACCTTTCTTTCTTCTCCTTTTTCTAAATAATAGGCTTTTTATTGATTTTATAGAGAGAGGAAGGGAGAGGGAGAGAGAGATAGAAAGATCAATTGGCTGCCTCCTGCACACCCTCTATTGGGGATCAAACCCTCCACCCAGGCATGTGCCCTAATTGGGAATTGAACCATGGGATGGATGATGCTCAACCAACTGAGCCATACCGGCTGGGCCTGGGTAGTTACATTTCTGAGGGGGTCTGAAATAGTGGCATTTTAAACTGTGTTAAACTAGATACACAAAAACAATGGATAGGACATGCTTAAAGCAAAGATAATCTTTTACTAGGGAAGTTATAGGCCTGAGGTGTGACTACCCACCTGTTATGAATTTATGATCAAATCACCCTGTGAGGCTACTTTTGGTTAGATTTATTACAGAGCCCCCATTTCATCCACAAATTCTTGTCCTGGGTGGTAGTTACAAGGACATTCACCTATATTAATATATTAAGCTACTCACAACAAGCAAATTTGACTGCCTGGAATATAAATCGTGAGTGCAGTGGCACATGGGCCTGTGTTTCCTGAGCTTTATTCTCTGGCCTTTCCATTCTCTCTCTCTCTCTCTCTCTCTCTCTTTTTTTTTCCTGTATACGTGTGTTAACCTCACCTGAGGATATTTTTTCCATTTTTTTTTTTAAGAGAGTGGAAGGGAGAGGAAGGGGGAAGAGTGTGGCTGGGTGGGAGGGGGCAGGGAGAGAGATAGACAGAGGCACATTGGGGCCAGGATTGAAACTATAACTCAGGTACGTGCCCTTGACTGGGAATCCAACCCAGGACCCTCCACCAGTGCTCCTGGCCGATGCTCTAACCACTTAGCAACGCCAGCCGGGGCTGGTCTTTCCATTCTTTATGCTACTCAATATCCAATAAAACTCCATCAAAGTCAGTTGTGTTGTCTGCAATAAAAGAATGTTAACTGATACAAGTGGCCTTGGCAAGTTACCATTAGCCTTGAGATGGGCGTAGATACCCCCCCCCCTTTTTTTTATGATGGAAGATGTTATAGCATTTTTTTTTTTTTAATGGATGGGAAGAATTGATGATGCAGGACAGAGGACAAATGCTGGAGCAAACTCCTTGAGCAGGAGAAAAGGAGTAGTATCCTTTTTTATTACTAAAAGGTCTTATGGAGGCATGACTTCATTCACCCAGATTAACAAGACAGAAAGAAGACTATGGAAACAAGATTTAGGCAAATTGGTCAATTGTTGATGGAAGTTATTTTTTGGAAGCATCTATTAATTAAGAACAAAGGACATCATTGAGAGTGAGGAGGGAAAAGTAGGTACTGGAAGTTTAGGGGAGAGCTGAGGATATGTCTAATCATGTGGAGAGGAGATTTGGGAAAAATAATAGGATGGAGGGGGCCTAAGAGCCCACTTGAGCTGTCATGAATTTTGAGTGACACCAGGCATCATAACTGTGTTTAGGTTCTAAACTGCAGGTGTAGAATAGGCTGAGAATGGAATTCAATAGGTTTTTGGGTTCTGCAAGATAAATTTAGAAAAGAGAGAAAGGGACCAAGGAGCTGAGAAGATGAAGGAACCCAGGGACCAAGGCATTGGAAAGGTCACCTACATAGATATCAAAATCACCAAAAATTATCCCAGGAGTGATGTTGGAGGGACAGAATAATGTGCTAAATCTTCTCAAAATGAGGTCCAGCAACCAGAGATCTTACACAGGACCTCCAGAAAGAAGCGCTGTGGGTGACAGCACAACCTTCAAAGGAGCTGGTGGTTTTAGTGAGGCGATTCAGTGCCAGAGTTGGCAATGAGAAATGAGTAGGATACCCACCCCATTTCCAGGCCCTGTTGTTATGGGGTGTGGGGGAGAAAACAATCATTAATTGAGAGGGCTGGGGGGGTGGGGTGACTGTATGCTTAGGGGGCAGCCAGATTTCTTAGAGCAAGATGAAAGAAACTTTCAGCCCTTGAGAATAGTGTACAGGAGCTATTGCTAGTAACAGACCGAGACTCAGAGGGTTAGGTGACTTGTTCAGGGTCACACAGCTAGTGAGAATTAGCTGAGAATGAAACACAGTGCTTTTTCTACTACACGGAGCCATAGGTCTTCTACGCTCTTACCTGACGTAACAGTTACAAGAGCCAAAGGAAGCCCAAAGCCTTCAAGTCAGAAAGCACTAAGCGGAAGAACCGCCTAAGATACCGCTCGCAATCACGCAGGCACAAAAGAGTTCGCTGCCACGCAATGCACTGTGGGTCTTGTAGTTCTCGGCTGGGCCTGGCGGGAAGGGACGGAGGGAAGAGCGCATTGCACGGCGGGAGTTACAGTCGTGGAAGTCCCTCCTCCCCCGGAAGCCAACCGGCGCGCGCAGACCGCTGAGCTGCAAGCGCGGGAGCCTGCCTGGGTTTGAGGTGGCTTCGGCAGCTGTGCTGTGCTACCGTTAGAGGCTCCATTTCCCTGAGACTTGACGGCCATTCGAGGCGAAAAGGCTTCGGACTAGAGAGGAGCAGGCGCTGGCAATGCAGGGGCCGCCACGACCTCAGGCTGCCTGGAGGGAAGGAGCCTGAGGGCCCCCGATGTCGTTTGGGCCTTTGCTTTCTTCCTTTGCAGGGACACTGCCTACCGCGAAGATGAGCTTGTGCCGAGGCACCACCTCTTTCAAAAAGGAGCATCTTTGGATGTATCTGCAGACGCTCGGCTTCGAGCCAGGCCCGGCCACCACTGCCTGCGGAAAGGTCGTGTCACACACGCACCTCGGAGTGTAAGGAGGCCGGGGCGGCGGGGCGGGGGAGCCCAAGCCTGGACCCGCCGGGGTGATCCGCCCTTTGCGGACCTGGCTGGTGTTAAACCAAGAAATGGAGTGGTACTGCACTCCGGGCCTGGCCGCAAATCCTCTGCGCGCGGTGGCTGCTAGTTGGTCGTGGAGGGACGTGAGAACAGTATATGCAAACGCCTTGAGCGCTCGACGGAGCCTTCAAGCTGGTTGCTCTTTAGTTTATAATTTTTACTTTTGAATTAGCAAACCGAGGCACGCCACAAAACAGATGGGTATTAAGATGAAAAGAAAAAGCCCCTTCCCTACTTTGCCACTTATGTTATGGTTGTGATTAGAAATCGCTATGTTGTTTATATATTTCTGTGTCTTAACTTACTAACTTGAGACAGTATCTAACGTTCCCACTTTAGACCAAGAGAAATTTGGGGTCCATTAGCTACCTCCTGTTCTCAAATCTTGACTTAATTATGTTATTTCAGTTCTTGTAGTGGCAGTGTTTTAGTATGTGTTTAGACCTCTATTTCTTGATTTATCAATCTCAGAAATGCCTCTTGATTCCCTAATATGTAATTTCACCCGGAAGGTAGCTGTTATTTATAAGATAATTAGCTCACCTACACCTACCTCCCTAACCACCTCTGCCTTCTCCTCTTGACTTTTTTCAGCAGTATTATAACTTTTACTGTCAAGGTGTAATTAAGTTTTGTTTGGTAACTATTTGTTTAGAAGTTACTACTATTTACATGTAGAAGTGTTTTGTTCAGGAGTCTATTCTAAAATTGACTATGGATAGCATTTATCAGGTTATGATTACTCCATTTATCTCACATGACTTCATGCCCCACAGCACAGTCTCATTTTCTCTACTGTCAAAGAAGCTTAAAGCTTCTCCAGGCCTCCACTGAGATTGGTTCCCATTGCCACTGCATCCTTCTCTCTAGTGTTTTAGCAATCTTGGTTTTCTCTGCTCTGGTTTGTTCAATTGTAATCTGCTTCTTGTCTTTGAAAATTAGTAAAATCTGTCAAGTCTGGTCCAGTGATGTCAGGTCCCCTCTCCCCCCAACACTGTCATTGATCTTGTTCCCCCTCTGAGTCTTTTTTTTTAAATATGCTTTTATTGATTTTAGAGAGAGAGAGGAAGGGAGAGAGAGATAGAAACATTGATGTGAGAAACATCAGTCGTCTGCCTCCTGCGTGCCCTCTGCTGGGGATGGAGCCCGCAACCCACGCATGTGCCCTGACCAGGAATCAAACCAGGACCTCTCAGTCCATGGGACAACGCTCAATCCACTGAGCCACACTGGCTGGGTCCCCCTCTAATTCTTTAGAGTAATTTCAGTGGGTTATTTGGAAACAGATGTTATCTTTGAAATGCTTTAAGCATAGCCCTGGCCGGTTTGGCTCAGCGGTTAGAGCATTGGCCTATGGACCAGAGAGTCCCAGGTTTGGTTCCCCCTAAGGGTTTGTCCCCTGCCTGGTTGGGGTCGTGTGGGTGGCAACCAGTTGATGTGTCTCTCTCACATTGATGTTTCTCTCTCTCTTTCCCCTCTCTCCCTAAAAAAAAAAAAAAAAAAAAAAAAAAATTAAAGTAAGTGTCAAAGAGCAAAACCAGGATACTATATGAAAACATTAAGTTTATGAAATGATAAGGAGGTAAGATTTGTGTTTTTTGACGAATAGAAACATTTCCAGGACAGTTGTTTGACATGGATAAGCATGGAAACTTAATTTTTTTTTTTTGCCCAGCGGTGTGGCTCAGAGGTTGAGTGTTGACCCATGTACCAAGAGGTCACCGGTTCGATTCCCAGTCAGGGCACATGCCCAGGTTGTGGGCCTGATCCTCAGTGGGGAACATGCAGGAGGTGGCCAGTCGATATTCTCTCTTATCGATGTTTCTGTCTCTTTCCCTCTCCCTTCCTTTCTCTGTAAAATCAAGAAAGGAAAATAAAAAAATTTTTTTTGTGTGTGTATTTAAAATATTTACTTATAGTTATAGTTGACATACAGTATTATATTAGTTTTCGGTGTTCAACATAGTGATTCAGCATTTACATATCTTACAAAGTGATCAACATAATAAGTCTAGTAACCATTTGTCACTGTACATGGTTTTAGCATGGGAACTGTAACATTAACTCTTTTTTTAATTTTTTTTATTTTTTTTATTTTTGGTACGTGCCCCTAGCCGCTAGGGCCCAGCAGGAACTGAACCCAAGACTCTCAGGTCCGCAGGCCGATGCTCCAACCGCTGAGCCAAACCAGCCTGGAACATTAACTCTTTTTTTATTGTTTTATTTTTTCTATCCTCACCCGAGGATATTTTTTTTGCATTTATCTTCAGACAGAGCATTTTTTGCATTTATCTTCAGGGAGGGAGGGAGGGAGAGAGGAAGAGAGAGAGAGAGAAACATCAGTGTGAGGGAGACACATTGACTGGTTACCACACCACCTCAACTGGGGCCAGGGACAAACCGCATCTGAGGTATGTGCCCCTAGAGGGAACTGAACCCAGGACTCTCTGGTCTGTGGGCCGACTCTCTAACTGCTGAGCCAAACAGGCCAGGGCTTAACTCTTTTTTAAAACCTCAAGATAATAGCTGTATGTGTTCATAGAAGGAATAGTCACATCTGCTTGTCATGTATTCCAGTAACTCACAGCCCATTTTTTAAAAAATAAGTCTTTTATTTTATATTACTATTACTAATAATATTACTATTATTATTATTTTTTTAATCCTCACCCGAGGATATTTTTTCATTTATCTTCAGATGGAGCGGGAGAGAGGGAGAGAGGAAGAGAGAGAGAGAAAAAACATTGATGTGAGAGAGACACATCCCATTGGTTGCCTCCTGCACGACGAGGCTGGGGACGAACCACGACCGGGGTAGGTGCCCTTGGCTGGAATCCACACTGGGACTCTGATCCGTAGGCTGACGTTCTAACTGCTGAGCCAACCTGGCCAGGTCTCACAGCCCATATTTCTTTCTTTCTTTCTTTCATTCATTCATTCATTCATTCATTCATTCATTCATTTTACTTTTTTTTCTTGGTATGTGGCCAGATCTCACAGCCCATATTTTATTCATTCATTCATTCATTCATTCATTTATTTTACTTTTTTTTCTTGGTATGTGCCCATAGCGGGAACTGAACCCGGGACTCTTTGGTCCGGAGGCTGATGCTCCAACTGCTGAGCCAAACTGGCCAGGGCTCACAGCTCATATTTTAATTGCCTAACTCCTAATCTAGTTTGTTTATCGAGTCTGAAAACAAGGAATAAACCAAGTGAGATATTCCTTCAGATCATTGTTGAAAATGTATTAAACATTAAAATATTTCAGATTTCTATTCTAAATGTTAAAACTATTTTATAATAGCACATAGGGAGAATCCTGGTAGGGGTATGAGGAGCATGGAACAGTGGTTGATGACCTTGGCCTAGAGGCTGCCTTATACCTGTGACATTTCTTACAAGGTTTAATTCTTTTTTTTTTTTTACATACTGTATTTTTTTTTAGGTTTTGTCTTGATTTAGTTAGGAAATCAGGACAATAAAAACTCTAAGGGGCTTGCTAGAATTACATTATAAGGATGGTTCTAGGAATAAAATGTAAAAATAAAGACCTTAGATTCTGGGATCAGATGACATATTTCACATCTCTCTAAAGTATAAATTTCTTCATCTGTATAATGAGAATAATCAAATTACTTTCTACTATCATTAGGATTAAATAAAATAATCCATGTTAAAGCAGCTAGCACAGTACTTAACCTCATATGATTGTGGTAAAAATTAGATGAGTTACTGCTTTTAAAAGGCTTAAATTAATACTTAAAAATAATAAACTCAATAAATATCAGCTGTTTTTATTGTCATTCAGTAAATGTTGGTTGGTATTATCATCTTCATTGTATCATAGGCCATGCATGGTATTCTCTCCACCTAATTAAGCCTTTCCTTTTTTTTCCCTGTAGAACGTTCTCACTGTGATAAAGCAAGTTCTACCAGTTCCCTTCTATTTGATCTGTATTTTCAGAATCAGAAATAAAACTTGTATGTCTTTCTTAACTGGTTGTTAAAATGTACAAGAATGAGAAAAATTAATTTGTCAAGGCCTATATACGTATTTTAAAATATGTCTATTGATTTTTTTAGAGAGAGAGGAAGGGAGAGAGAGATAAAAACATTGATGTGAGAGAAATGTCCATTGGCTGCCTCCTGCATGCCCTCTACTGGGGATTGAGCCTGCAACCTGGGCGTGTGCCCTGACTGGGAATGGAACCAGGATTTCTCAGTCCATGGGATGACACTCAACCCACTGAGCCACACCAGCTGGGCAAGAATGAAAAATAATAATTTGCATCATATTCATACAACTTTTGATGATATTTAGTTTTATTAACCATTTTTCTTTTTGTTCCCTATTTCTATTTCTTTTTAAACCATTAGGAACATGTTTGACAAGCCGAACCGTGATGCTTTTCAAATAGTGTCTTATTTCTTGTTTCAAACACTGGACCAGTCTCTCACTAAAGAAGTTTTCAAGTAAGTAAAAGTTATTTAATTTTCTTTTTGTAACTGGTCATTCTCAAATTTGAAAAGGGACTGTGCCTTGATATAAGCCAGGATTCAGCTTTGGCCTTTCAATATTGTTTTGAGGATGTCACAAAAATCAGGTTTGAGCCTTACAAATTTAGTGCTTAACCTTTATAAATCTGAGTAATGTTTATTTGGTATTCAGTTTAAAAATCATTGTATACTTCCTAGGTAAATTAGATTTTGTTTTATAAAATTAACTTCTAACACTCTTCATAGTCTTACTTCATAGTCTTAATTATTAGGCAAAACAATTAACTGGTACCAATTTATCTGTAAATTTAATTTTTCCTTTTCCTTTTATTAATTACCCCTGCCTTATTCCTTTTCTTGTAAGTACTGATATTTGTTTTGTCTATTATCTCTGTAAAGGCTCATTATTTTTGTTAATGATATATATATTAAAGTGTGGCCCTCATCAGTGTGGCTCTGTGATTAGAGCTTTGACTGGTGAGCCAAAGGGTCTTGGGTTTGATTCACAGTCAAGGGCAAGTAGCTGGATTGCTGGTTCAATCCCCGGCCCAACTGGGGCATGTATGGGAGGCAACCAATTGATGCCCCCCCCCCTCCTTTTCCCCCTTCAACCCCTCCCCCTCAACCTCCCCCTCTCCCTTTTTCATCCTCTGTCTTCCTCCTACTCTCTTTGGGTGAGGATCAACAGCAACAACAAAGTGTCAAATGCTAGAGGCAAAAATCATTTTTATTAAGTTTGGCCTATTGTTATATACTGTTAAATATTAAATAGTTTAAGAAGGAGATAAAATTTTGAATACCCACTAGTCTTGTTTTCTAAGTTATTTTGCAAGTGATTTGAGTTTCTTCTGTCAGAAAAAGTGTTCACTTTTATTTTAACATTTTCATTGTGTCATCCTCTTAATATAAAAAAGCAACAGGTAAGCACATTGTTTAGGGCATTGTCTTATTTTTGATACTTTTTTCTTAATATTTTGTCTTCTGTTAAAGTTATGAATGATCAGTAGAACAGGTATATTTGAAACATTTTTTAGAAATCCCCATCATTACGATATAGGGCTTTCTCTTCTCAAATAAAAATAGATTTTCTAGTCCTTCCGATTATAAACAAAATACACCTCATTTTAAACAATTCAGAAAATACAGAAAAATGTAAAGAAGTATGTAGAAATCATTTCTAAACCCACGAACCAGAGAATATCACTGTTGACATTACAGCCTTTCAGTCTTTTTTCCTATGCATACTTAATTTTTTTCTATTAATATAGAATGTATGATATGCTATAGAAATTTTTAAAAAACATGGAGTGCTAAACAGATACCTCAGAATAAAAATTTGGGTAAAATTGATTATTAGTGGAAAGCAGTAGGTAAATTTTAAAGTCTGTTATTTTGAACTAAAGTTGAGGCAGAACTTTACTTTTTAAATAATTATATATATTTTTATCCACAAATAGTAGCACCCACTTACTATAGGTTATCTTCAGCAGTCAAAAGCTCTCATTGCTATTCTCATGTGCTCTTCATATGTAACCATTTATGTTTCTCTCTTTTTTTCACCAGGCTTAACATACTAAATTATTTATACCACCTTTATGTGTTAGTCCACTGAATCCATTGAGAGTGTTCTCATCTTTAGCTGATTTTTAGTAATTTTAATAATGATTAATTCCTTCATTAAATATATATGTGTGTGTGTGTGTGTATACACACACACATTGGTTATTTACACGAAACTGAACTCAACCCTGTAGATATTTATAAAGAAAAAGACCCAATTATTATTTTCTTTGTTAATCTTACCTGAAGGTATTTTTTTTTTTTTTTTTTTTATCCTCACCCGAGGACATTTTTCCATTTTGTTCAGGTAGAGTGGGAGGGAGAGAGGGGAACAGAGAGAGAGAGAAACATCGATGTGAAAGGAACACATCGAGTGGCTGCCACCCACACGACCAACCATGGCCGGGGACAAACTGCAACCGAAGTACATGCCCTTAGCGGGAACCGAACCCGGGTCTCTCCAGACCGCAGGTCGACGCTCTAACCGCTGAGCCAAACTGGCCAGGGCTGAAGGTATTTTTTCCATTGATTTTTAGAGAGAGGAAGAGAATAGGGGATGAGAGAGAGAGAGAGAGAGAGACAGAGAAAGAAATATCGATGTGAGAGAGACACATCAGTTGGTAGCCTCCTGCATGAGCCCCAATCAGGGTTGAGGATTGAATCTGCAACCCAGGTACGTGCCCTTGACCAGAAATCGAACCCGAGACTCTCTAATCCCAGGGCCGACACTCTAACCACTAAGCCAAACCAGTCAGGGCAAGTTTCTCATAGTTGAAATCTATGAATGTTAGCCTTGATTCATTTAGCATTATTGTTTTTAGTATGAGATAAATTTGATGTTTTTAATTTTTGTTGAGTTTTTTTTTTGTTGTTCATAATTCTAATGTTTTATTTTTGTTTTTAAGGTTTTGTTGGCCTCCATTTGATCAAAAAAGTGAAACTGAATTCCGGAAACATTGCTGTGAATGGTTAAAAAAAATTTCTGTAAGTATTTTCCTTCTGGAAAATGAAAACTTTAGAGGTTACAAACTACATTAATTTTTTTTCGGGCTTTATTGAGGTACAATTGTATATTTATTTTTTAGAGGTGAAATATATTTAATGCTTTTATGCTAACTCTAAGCAAGATAAATTAGAATAATACTTTTCATGGTTTTTGAATGGGATTCTGTATGTTTCTAGAAAATCAACTTTGTTGGCGAGGTATATTGGAAATAGGTTTTTGAGTTCCTTGGAGCTTATACCACAGTTTTTTTTTTTTCCTTTTTTAAAATGTTTTTATTGATATTTTAGAGAGAGAGAGAGAAACATCGATCGGCTGCCTCCTGCATGATCCCTACTGGGGATCAAGCCTGCAACCCAGGCATGTGCCCTGACCAGGAATCAAACTAGGACTTCTCAGTCAAGGGATGATGCTCAGTCCACAGCCACACCCGCCGGGCCACAGTTTTTATTTAAGGAAAACTTTTTGATTATAGACTATTTTAGCTTATGTCCCCAAATAGTGTCAATAATTGTGGGTTTATGTTGTAATTACTTTTTTGTGACCGAGTCCACCAAGAGTTTAGAAAGATTCAAAAATTCACCTTCGGATTTGAATGGAATTAACCTGATCAATCGTATTATACTTCAAAACAGTATGATGTGAATATAAAGGAAGGACTTTATATTGTTGGTAAGGACTTTAAATTATCTTATTTCTCTTTTCCATAGGCTGAATGTGGAAGTAGTTTTCCTCAAGTTGTTGGTTCACTGTTTCTTTCTCCTGGTGGTCCTAAGTTTATTCATCTGATGTATCATTTTGCAAGATTTGTTGCAATAAAATATATAAAAACCCATTCTAAAGGTAAGTTAAATTTATAGTAGGATTTTTTTTTGATTCTTAAATATTTATTCTTTGCCATTTGTAGATCAAGAGATTTTAATAAAACAAGGTAAGATAAAAACATTAAGTAACTTCAGAAGGCAAATAGTATTCTACTGGAACTATAGTTTGAAATCTCATGATGAACATAAGTAACAATTCAATTTATTGTATTATGTTCTAATACAGGGATTGGGAAACATTTTCTATATAAGGCCAGATAGTAAATATTTTAGACTTTGTGGACCACACAGGGTCTCTGTCACATACAGTCGTCCCTTACCACTTCGCGCTTCGACTTTCGAGACTTCACTCTATCACAGTTTTTTCAAATATATTCATTAAAAAGTTGATTGAGACAGTGAAAATGATACAGTGCACGCTTTGTTGTCTGAGTCAATAAAAACATATTTTTTAAAAAAGGAGTGCTACTTGTAGCTTGTTAAATATGCTGCTCTATTTAATTGGTTTATGCTCACAAAACATGGACAGGAAAATACAGAAAAGTTAATGCAGTAAATTGTATTCATCTTCCAATTTCTAGACAACCATTGCTGACATCTAGGTTTATTTTCTTATAGCTTTTTTCTTTTTTTAGTGCACATATATATTTATGTTTTAATTATTTTGAATCGGTAATATTTTTTATGATTCAAAAATCGAAAGGTTAAAAGTCTGTCTTCCACTTCTATTCTTTTTTTAAATATATATATATATATATATATATATATGTTAAATCCTCACCCAAGGATATTTTTTCATTTATTTTCATGAAGGGAGGGGGGAAGAGAAAGAGAAAGAGAGACAGAAACATCAATGTGAGAGAGACACATCCACTGGTTGCCTCCTGCAAGACCCCAACTAGGGCCAGAGACCCAACTGTAACTGAGGTACATGTCCTTGACCAGAATTGAACCCGAGACTCTTTGGTTTGTGGGCTGATGCTCCAACCACTGAGCCAAACCAGCCAGGGCCCACCTCTATTCTTTAACTACCTAGTTACCCTTCTTAGAAGCAATCAATATAATCAGTAAATCAAGCAAATGTGTATATATTCTTTTTCTTAATATACCCTAAATGGTGACAGACATCCGATTTTGAATCCTGTGTTTTTCATGTAACAGTATATATATATATCAGTTCATAAAGTATCCTTATTCTTATTCTCTCTTTAGAACTGCATATTTGAATAGATATCACATAATGTATTTAATTAGTCTTCTGCTGAGATAGTTGGCTTTTTTCCCTAATCCTTTGCTATAAAAACAATGCTACAGCCTGGCTGGTGTGGTTCAGACCATTCATCAAGAGGTCACCAATTCGATTCCCAGTCAGGGTACATGCCCAGGTTATGGGCCAAATCCCCAGTGGGGGGCATGCAGGAGGTGGCCATGTTTCCATCTCTTTCCCTCTCTAAAATCAATAAAGGAAAAAAAAAAAAAAGGAAGAAAACCAACAGCAACAATGCTACAGGAAAAAACTTGATACATACAGGGTGGGGCAAAAGTAGGTTTATATTTGTTCGTATGGAAAATAAATAAATAATAAGACAAGAATAAACTATTTCATGTACTCACAACTGTAAACCTACTTTTGCCCCACCTTGTGTATCACTTAGTGTATTTTCAAGTATATATGTGTATATGCTGTGTGTGTGTGTGTGTGTGTGTGTGTGTGCACGCGTGTGCGTCTGTGTGTGTGTATAATTTTTGGAAGGTGATTTCTTTCTTGGTCAAATAAATTGTGCATTTGTAATTTGCTATTATTACCAGATTGTTTTCTGTGGCGATTGGACAATTTATACTTATATCACCAGTGTATAGTGTCTGTTTTCCCAGAGGCTCACCAACATTGTGTGTGATAAGACATTTTTATCTTTTCAATCTGATAGTTAATGTGGAATCTCAGGGTAGTTTTAATTTATACTTCTCTTACTATGTGTTTAGTTAGATTGAAAATTGTTCAAATATTTAACAGCAATTTATACTCTTTTTGTACTCTATATTTATATCCTTTGTCCATTTTTCTCTTTAGCTATTTTGTTTTTCATTTGTAGGAGCTTTTATTTGTTATCCCTTCTCTGTGATGTGACATGTAAGCCTTTTTTTTCTAGTTCATGTTTTATGCATGCTTAAAAAAAATACATGTGGTCTTGCTTTATAGGTATTTGCATATTTTAAATTTAATGTAACATAAGCATTTTACCACTTTTTCTATTAGTAGGTGATCTATTTCAGTTACATGTATGTAACCTAAACTATTTTATATGAAATACATGAAGAGTTTATTGTGCACGAGGCTTCTAAGCATGGGTTTTCCTATTTCTGAATTAAAACAATTCTAGTCAACATATTCAGTCTCTAGATGACTTCTACATTCAGTGAACTCATCCTATACTAAATATTTAGAGATTGTGGTGGTTTCTTTGGGGTTAATTCTGGGACTTGGCTTAGTAATGTTAAGTGTAGTGTGAGGTCCCTGTTTTCTAAAATACTCATCTTTATTATACTGAGCCATCTTAAAGTAGGATTTATTGCATTCATTACAGGTAAAAAACCTGGACTCTGAAATGTTTGCATGGATTATTCTCTTAGTCTGCTTTGAACATTAGTAACATAGCTAAGAATTACTCGAGAAATGGAAACTTGTTGTCATTGTCTTGTCCTGTTCTTACTAGGAAGAAAAGTAAGCTGATGGCAGCCATAGAGGTGATGTGATCTCACCTCATCTCTTTTAGTAGATTTTCTCCTTTGTTATTAAAAGATCTTGTTAAAAATTTGCTTAGGTATGACAATGTATTTGTTCATGGATATATCAAGCTGTGATAAGAGTTATTTTAGGCAGATGGACTCTAAAAAGTTTTAATTATGTAAAACAACTTCAGATATCCTTTTAAAGTTGCCTTGCTTTTGTTGAAATTAGTTGTAACTTTTTGTGTATATGGCATGCCATCTTTTAAGGAGTTATTAGTTATATGAGGTTGCTAATCTCTTTAATAGTTAATAATTAATAAGTACTATGTAAATAATTAATAAAATCCAACATTTTAAATAATTATTAGCTTATAAGTCTTAAGTTTTCTGTGATCTTGTGTTCCTTGTAGATTCATCCAGACGTGTTGCAGAGACATTTAATGTAAACCCACAAGATTTGCACATGTGCATTGCCAGGTCCCATGTAGCACGTAACAGATTTTTACAGATTTTACAAAGAGAAGATTTTGTTTTCCAGAAGTATCAGGAAAATGCACAGTAAGTAATACTATGATAGTTAGAAAATAAAAATTCTTTTCTCTTTATATAAATGTCATCAGTATACTTTTAGTGGTAATGATCCATGCTTACCTCAGAATACCCTTGCTGTTATCTCTCCATTTTAAAGCAAGATAACTTTGTATTAAAATGTTTTAAACTTTAGGTATACTGTAAATGAAAGTTTAGAGGAAAGGAAAAGATCACTTTAGTTTAAAATTTTAAATCTTAGAAGCTTTTTCTTTTTTTTTCTAACATGGAAGTATGTTTCAAAGCTCTATAGTGCTCATTCTGTTTTGTAACTGTTCTTTTTTAGTATTTAATTTTTAATTTTAATTTTTTTTGTTAATCCTCACCCGAGGATATTTTTCCATTGATTTTTTTTTTTTCTAGAGTGGAAGGGAGGGAGGGAGGGAGTGGGGGAAGAGAGAGAGATCAAAACACTGATGTGAGAGAGACATATCAATTGGTTGCTTCTTGCACGACCCTGACCAGGGCCAGGGATCGAACCTGCATCCCACATATGTGCCCTTGACTGGAATCAAACCCTTGACCCTTTGGTCTGTAGGCTGATGCTCCAACTGCTGAGCCAAACTGACCAGGGCTCCTTTTTTATCTTGATATATTATTCTGTAAGTTTTTTCATATTGCCATAGTGTATTACTTTTAATGTCTACTTAATAGTTTGTTGAGTATCTGTTAAGTAGATATTCCTTTAAGTAGGTATTCCATTGTTTCTTTAACCATTTTGTACTATTTTATGTTTACAGTCATCTATTCAGCACATATGTGCCAGATACTGTTTAGGCACTGGTCCTTCAGGGTTAAATAAGACAGGCAAGGTTCTTACTGTCAAAAAATAGTGTGTGTAATGTTTTACAATGATTAACAATTCCAGTAAGATAACTTTTTATTTATTTCTTTAATTAATTTTATTTTTTTAAATCTTTATTGTTGAATGTATTACATATGTTCCTCATTGTTCCCCCATTGACCCCCTCCTCCCCACTCCTGCCCCCCTCACGCCTTTTCCAACACTATTGTCTGTGTCCATTGGTTATGCATATAAGTTCTTTGGTTTATTTCTTCCCACCCCCCCAACCCCTTTCCCTTTGAGGTTTGTCAGTCTAGCAATGAATTTGTACTTCTTAATCCCTTCACTTTTTTCACCCATTCCCCTAATCCCCCTCCCATCTGGCAACCAACAAAATGTTCTCTGTATCTATGAGAATGTTTCTGTTCTGCTGTTCATTTTGTTTGTAGATTCCATTGTCGATAGATATGTATTCATTGCCATTTTGTTTGTTCATATATTTTATCTTTTTCTTCAAGAAGACCCTTCATCATTTCATATAATAACAGTTTGGTGGTGATGAACTCCTTTAGCTCTTCCTTGTCTGGGAAACTCTTTATATGGCCATCAATTCTAAGTGACAGCTTTGCAGGATAGAATAATCTTGGTTGTAGGTTCTTGCTTTTCATTACTCTGAATATTTCTTGCCACTTCCTTCTGGCCTGCAAAGTTTCTTTTGAGAAATCAGCTGACAGTCTTATGGGAACTCCCTTGTAGGTAACTAACTGCCTTTCTCGTGCTGCTTTTAAGATTCTCTTTGTCTTGAACCTTTTGCATTTTGATGATGATGTGTGTTGGTGTGGGCCTCTTGGGGTTCATCTTGTTTGGGACTCTCTGTGCTTCCTGGACTTGTATGTCTGTTTCCTTCACCAAATTAGGAAAGTTTTCTGCCATTATTGTTTCAAGCAGGTTTTCAATTTCTTGTTCTCGCTCTTCTCCTTCTGGCACCCCCAAGATGCGAATGTTGGCACGCTTGAAGTTATCCCAGAGGCTCCTTACACTATTTTCATTTTTTTGGATTCTTTTTTAATTTTGCTGTTCTGATTGGGTGTCTTTTGCTTCCTTATATTCCAAATCGATGGTTTGCTTCTTGGATTTACCTACTCTACTATTAAATCTGTGTAAATTATTCTTTATTTCAGTTAATGCCTCCTTCATTTCTGACTGTGCATCCATCATTTCTGACTGGTCCTTTTTTATGCTCTTGAGGCCCTCACTAAGTTTACTGAGGTTCTCACTAAGTTCATTGAGCATCCTTATAAGCAGTATTTTGAACTCCGCATCTGTTAGGTTGCTTATCTCCATTTTGCTTAGTTCTTTTCTTGGGGTTTTGTTCTGTTCTTTCATTTGGGACCTGTTTCTTTGTCCTCATTTTGGCTGCCTCCCTGTGTTTGTTTCTGTGTATTACTTAACGAGCAGTCTGGGGATAGCTGAGACCAGATGCTGCTTGTCTGAAAGAATTTAGGAAAACCTGAAGCAGGATCCAAGACAGGCCAATCCTATGGTTAATTAAGCAAGTGGCAACAGCTTGGGTGGGCCTGAAAGTCTGGTGGGGCGGGGCCTCAGGGAATCACCAGGGCGGGGCTACCAGCGTGAGCCAGGTTGCTGGAGTCCCAGACATGGTGGCTGTCTGCTGCCCCAGGGAAGGGCTCACCAAAGGAACAAAGGCCTCTGACAGCACGTTTGTCCCGGAGAAAGCCCCCTCTCCTGCCCTCGCTCCACTGTCAAACAGCTCAGTTCTTCCCTGTATGTCTCTGGTGCCCCTCGAGCTGCCTCCCCTCCAAGCTTAGAGGGGGTGAGTGCGATAAGTCAGTGTGCGGGCCCTTTAAGGAGCTGCCTGGGACTCCAGCCGTGACAGCTTTCTTGAATCTCAGTTCCCGCTGGTTTTTCCAGCCAGAAATTATGGGGACTTCTCTTCCTGGCACTGGAACCCTGAGCAGGGCACCTGGTGTGGGACGGGGACCCCTCAGTCCTCAGGAAGGACCTTCCCAGCCAAGGTGTCCTCCTGATTTTTATCCGCCACACGTGGGTGTGGGACCCGCCCGTGGTGCCTCTGCCCCTTGTGGCGCCTCCGCTCCTCCTACCAGTCTGGATGTGGCTGCTGCTTTAATTCTGTAGTTGTAGGACTTACATTCAGCTTGATTTCAGGCGATTTTGAATGGTGGTAGTTCTGTAGTTTAGTTGTAACTTTGATGTGGTTGTGGGAGGACGTGATACCGCGTTTACCTACGCCGCCATCTTGACCTGAAGTCCAAGATAACTTTTTAAATGCTGTGCTATCTATTACAAAAGCTACAAAATTTTTTCCTTTTGCAATTTTTTATTAATTAATTATTTTCACAGATGTTTCTCCTTTTCCCCCCCCAGACACCCTCCTCCCCATCCTGCCTCCCCCTGGCATTGTTGCCTATGTTCATTGGTTATGCATATGTGCATATAAGTTCTTTGGTTTATCTCATCCCTCTCCCCCACTCCCCTCCTCTGAGGTTTGTCAGTTTGAACCATACTCCTTTCTGTGTCTCTGGGTTGATGTTCATCAGCTTATTTTGTTCATTATATTTCACATATAAGTGAGATCATATGGTGTTTGTCTTTGACTGGCTTATTTCCCTTAACATAATGCTCTTCAGGACCCTCTATGTCACCTCAAAGGATAGGAGATCTCTCTTTCTTACAGCTGCATAGTGTTCCATTGTGCATATATACCACAGCTTTTTTATCCACTCCTCTATTGATGGACACTTGGGCTATTTCCAGATCTTAGAAATTGTAAATAGTGATGCTATGAACATAGTGGGTTCCCTTTCCATTTTGATACTTCTTTTGCTGTGCAGAAGCTTTTAGTTTGATGTAGTCTCATGTATTAATTTTTTCCTTTGTTTCTCTTGCCTTAGGCATTGGATTACTGAAAATTCTGCTGCGTGTGATGTCTGAAATTTTGTTCCCTACATTTCCTTCTAGGGTTTTTATGGATTCATGAGTCAACATTTAAGTCTTTTATCCATTTTGAGTTTATTCTTGTATATGGTGTAAGTTAGTGGTCTAGTTTCATTTTTTTGCGTGTAGCTGTCCAATTTTCCCAACACCATTTATTTATTAAAGAGGCTGTCTTTACTCCATTGTATGCTCTTGCCACCTTTGTCAAATATTAATTGAGCATACTGTCTTGGGTCAATTTCTGGGTTCTCTGTTCTGTTCTATTGATCTATCTGCCTGTTCTTGAGCCAGTGCCAGGCTGTTTTGATTACAGTGGCTTTGTAGTATAACCTGATATTCGGTATTGTGATCCCTCCTACTTTGGTCTTTTTTTTTAAGATTGCTGTGGTTATTTGGGGTCTTTTTTTATTCCATCTAAACTTTTGGAGTATTTGGTCTAGTTCCATGAAATATGTCTTTGGTATTTCAATGGGGATTGCATTGAATCTATAGATTGCTTTGGGTTGTATGGACATTCTAATGATGTTAATTCTTCCAATCCATGAACAAGGTATATGCTTCCACTTTTTTATGTCTTCCCCTATTTCTTTTTTCAATGTCCTGTTGTTTTCTGCAAATAGGTCCTTTACTTCTTTGGTTAAGTTTATTCCTAGGAATCTTAATTTTTTTTGAAGCAATAGTAAATGGGATTGGTTTTCTGGTTTCTCTCTCTGTGAGTTCATTATTGGTGTATAGGAATGCTGTCAATTTCTTGATGTTAATTTTGTATCCTGCTACTTTGACAAATTTGTTTATTAAATCTGGTAGATTTTTGATGGATTCTTTATGGTTTTCTATGTACAGTATCATGTCATCTGCAAATAATGACAGTTTCACTTCCTCCTTTTCAATTTGGATCCCTTTTATTTTTTCTTTCTGTGTAATTGTGGTGGCTAAAACTTCAGTACTATTTTAAATAACAGTGGTGAAAGTGGACATCCCTCTCTTGTTCCTGTTTTTAAGGGAAGTGCTTTTTTTGCCCATTGATTATGATGTTGTCTGTACGTTTTTCATATGTGGCCTTTGCTATATTGAGGTATGATCCCTCTATTTGCACATTACTGAGCGTTTTTATCAGAAATGGGTGCTGGATTTTGTCAAATGCTTTTTTAGCGTCTATTGATAAGATTATATTGTTTTTTTTTTTTTTATCCTCACCCGAGGACATTTT